CCCTTCCTCTCTCTCTCTCTCTCTCTCTCTCTCTCTCTCTTTCTTTCTTTTTTTCTTTCAGAAGGGGAGATTTGGGAAAAGAAGCAGGGGAATGCTCTTTGGAAAACAAAGAGCACTTCTCCCCCAAAGACAGAGTAGTTTTGCAGAAAACTTTAAGGTTTTGTAACTGCTTAATGCCCCCTCCAAAAGTGTTCCTAGCCTGTTTTGTGTAAGATTTTGATCAGCGGCTTTCAGACATTTTTCTGTTTTTACTGCAACCCAGAATAATAAGCTCACTTTACATTGTGACATAGAACATCCCCCCCCCCACCCCCCACACACAGCAGCAACACACTGAACAACATTTACCAGGCTGTATGTGACTCACTCTGATATTTTCTGTATTTGTCTATCATTTAAAAAGATGTGGATTTGTGGGTTTGGCTTGCTGAAAGGATCTCAACAATAGTTTGTGTTTGTTCTTCCTCAGAGTATCCTTTGGAGCAAATCCGAGGAGCTGACAAAACTGTATAGCCATGCCTACCCGGAGCTGTTCATGCTGGAGGACACGCTGATGGGCTACATTGCTGATAACCTCACCTGGTGCGGAGACGAGGGCTCCTCTGGTGAGGATCGGGGCCACGTGGGATCGTCTAGGGATGTGTGTGTGGGGTGAGAGCCCTGAGCTCTGCTAGGGGCCCTGAAAGATCGAGGTGGGGGACGGAGCCCCAGGGCCCACCCTGATGCCATCTATGCCCCAAATGACAGCTCAGCCTGATGGACAGTGGTGTTCTTTAGACCAGCTGGTGTGTTCATCCCTCCTTTCCTACCCCTGTCACCACCCCCCGAGTCCAGCACACTAACGTAGTGCTTGCTGGGACAGTTCTAACACTCTTACTGCCCACTCCTCAGCCCTGTAGGTCAGCTTCCATGGCCACCACCATGGGCTTGTCTCTAACCAAAAACCTAAATTCCACAGCTATCTTTTGCCTCTGAGATAAGGCCCCAATTCCTTAGCATGGCCGGGCCCTGTCTCTCAGATGCCTCAGCTTCCAGCATTCCTGTTCTCCTGCCTTCTGCTCTGGTGGTACTAGTCTAAGCCCACGAGGCTGCTTCTCACCTGCCTTTGCACATGTTCTCTGCACGGAATACCTCCCTCTCCCTCCTCTGTCTGAAGACTCTTACTCATCCTGCAAAATCAAGTTCAACATCAGCCTTCCCCAATGGTGCTGCACACCACCTCCCACCCAGGTTGACCTTTCTGTGATTTATTCCATTATGCTGGATGAAGTGGTCTCTGGAGGCAGGGCTTCTGTCTAATTCATCCCTCTATCCCCGGGACTTAACTCTCCAGTGTCTGTGCCATCAAAGGCAGTGGGTAAAGAAAACGTGGCATATGTATTTCTATAAAACGGCCCATTATTCAGCCTCAAGCAGGGAAATCTGTCCATTTTCAACAGTGCAGATGAATCTGGAGGGCATTGCGCTAAGTGAAATAAGCCAGACAGAGAAAGATGAATGCTGCATGGTGTCACTTTATATGTGTGGAATCTAAAACAAGAAATTAAAAACAGGAACTCATAGAAACAGAGTAGAGAAGTGGTAGCCAGGGGCAAGGAGTGGGGTAGTATGGACAGGCTGGTAAAAAGGGACAAACTTCCACTTCTAAGACGAGGAAGGTCCAAGAATATAGTGTAGAGCATGGTGACAATCGTTGGTAACACTGTAGAAGCGTAACTGAAATTTTCCAAGAGAGGAGGGCCTATGTTCTCTCACAGACACACCTGCAAAGATAAATATGGGAGTTGATGGCTGTGTTAACTCCACATGGGGAAATCTCTGTGCAGTGTACAGATGTGTATCAAATCATCACATTGTACACTTTAAATATNCAACATCAGCCTTCCCCAATGGTGCTGCACACCACCTCCCACCCAGGTTGACCTTTCTGTGATTTATTCCATTATGCTGGATGAAGTGGTCTCTGGAGGCAGGGCTTCTGTCTAATTCATCCCTCTATCCCCGGGACTTAACTCTCCAGTGTCTGTGCCATCAAAGGCAGTGGGTAAAGAAAACGTGGCATATGTATTTCTATAAAACGGCCCATTATTCAGCCTCAAGCAGGGAAATCTGTCCATTTTCAACAGTGCAGATGAATCTGGAGGGCATTGCGCTAAGTGAAATAAGCCAGACAGAGAAAGATGAATGCTGCATGGTGTCACTTTATATGTGTGGAATCTAAAACAAGAAATTAAAAACAGGAACTCATAGAAACAGAGTAGAGAAGTGGTAGCCAGGGGCAAGGAGTGGGGTAATATGGACAGGCTGGTAAAAGGGGACAAACTTCCACTTCTAAGATGAGGAACGTCCGAGGATCTAGTGTAGAGCATGGTGACGATCGTTGGTAACACTGTAGAAGGGTAATTGAAATTTTCCAAGAGAGGAGGGCCTATGTTCTCTCACAGACACACCTGCAAAGATAAATATGGGAGTTGATGGCTGTGTTAACTCCACATGGGGAAATCTCTGCCCAGTGTACAGATGTGTATCAAATCATCACATTGTACACTTTAAATATTTTACAGTCTTATTTGTCAATTCTGTGTCAGAAATAACTAAAAAGTGTTTATGCATTAAGGCAGGCATCCTCGGGAGAAGAGACATAGGAACTGAATTCATCCCTGAGTTTGGTGCCTGAGTTTGGTTCGAGGCCTGAGCTTTCTCAATGGGGACAGTATAGAAAGTCCAGGCTGTCTGAGCCTAGGGTGTGGGCCTAGCATGTGGGGGCAGAGAGTTGTCAAAGGAGAGAGTCAGCAGGAGGCAGAGGAGTGGTCAGGGAGAATGGCCCAAGGCCCACTTCTATCTGTGATTTCCCTGCATGATGTTGGGAGCTTGCCTGTCAGACGAGCTTTCTGCAGTTTCCCAGAATGCAGACTCAAAGCTGGTCACTGTGTTCCTGTCTGGGATTTGGAGGGGAGGGTAAGGACTCGGATGGGAGTCAGGGGCACGCAGTTAAATTGAGTCCATTCTCCACCCTCCACCTTGCCAGAGCCCCTTGGATAGTGGCTCTGCTTTGACGCCACAGCCAGGGAGGGATGGAGCTTAATGACACCTTGACTTTCCACTGCAATTATTTTCTACAAACTCTGTCTTTCAGAAATAAACAGTCAGTCTTGCCCCGACTGGACTTATGAGTGCACAAACAACACTATGTATGTGTTCTGGAAGACAGTATCCAAGAGGGTAGGTACCAAAAGTGAAATTCTAGAATTGGGAAACCACGGAATGAAGAGGTCATCTAGTCAGTGGTTGGTTTGAATTCTTTTGGGATCACAGATCCTTTTAGAAACAGAAGTTTGGGATTCCTTCCTGAGGAAAAGGTTCCTGAGTACACTCTAGATTTTCACAGATAATTTTAGGGCTTGCGTGGAGGGCTCGTGGGCCCCATGGAAGAGTCCTTGCTCTTGCCCATTGTTTGGGCTTCGGCTGCCAGGAATCTCCTGCTCGGTTTAATCCTCTGGCCCAGGTATTGGCCAGTCCTAGGTTCCTGGAACAGTCTTAATAATCCGCAACTGCAGGCCACGCCCTGGGTGCCAGGCGCGGTCCTTGGGCTTCACCTGGATTAAAACCTTTCATCCTCACACGAACCCTCTGAAGTAGGAACCATGAGCATCACACCAATTTAAGATGCCCAAATAGTAGGAAAGCCTCTGCTGAAGGTCCACGGTGAGGGGCAGGTCTGGGAGTTAATCCCACTGTCTCACTCCAGGTCTGGAATCGGGGCTGGGAAACAGTCACCATCTTCCCCGGCCCCTTCTCTCTATATTTCTCACTTCGCGCTGAGCTGCCTTTGTGCATATTTCTTTTTCGTGTAAGTCACTCCTTCTCACGCAAGTGGACTAGGGAGAAAAGGGAAAGAAAGGAAGGAAGATGTGAAGGAAAGAGAAAGAGGGAGAAAGTAAAGCTACACTACTTGTAATTCTCCAAAATTCAATTCAGACACTGAGGAGCTGGGGCCAGTGGAAACTCACATCTGTTAGGTGCCTATTTGTGACAAGCCCTGGGCCAGGTGCCTACCTATGTCACCCCATGTAATCCTCACAGTGGGTGCTGAGGGAAGGTTCTGGTGAGGAAATGAAGACTCGGAGGTTAAGGGACTCATCCAAGGTCAACGGGCTGGTTAGGAGACAGAGCCCAACCCACTGTAAGGAGATTCAGGTAAACCCTGGTAGAGAAAGGAGGTAGCCTGGGATTTGAAGCAGGAAGACTGTTTCTACTTGGAAAGATCCTCTACCACCGGTCTGACCTTCAATTGAGGATAAAACTCAGGCCTGTCTCAGGTTACCACAATGTTGAAACAAGATACCGCTATCCCGCTCACGAAGAATGCATTCTTTTAACAAATATTTGTTGAGTACCCACTATGTGCTGTGAAAAATCAGAGGCACCTTACAGGCTTTCGTTGTTTGTTTTTTGAGAAGGGTTTCTTGCTTTTTCTGAGAACAGTGTCTATTTGGTCCCTCTATGATGTGTTTTGGGGCAGTGCTGTTGCTAAAAACTTGTAAAGCCAAGTCTCATGTTATAACTGACAAGCACCTGTTAGTGTTCCCTGCGCTGTCCTTGGAGCTAGGAGCACAGAGGTGATGGTGACGGACGGTGCACCCTCCCACTGGGAGCTCCCTGGGTGCACCTTTATCTTGGCCAAATGCGAGCTCATGGATGTAGGTAGACAGCCTTCTTTTACCAGACTAGGTCCTTTCTTTTTCTGACAATAGAGGCAGTGCCTTTGGGGTTTGAATCCCCATCCCACTTTCTCAGTTCCATGTGACCTTGGGGTAAAGGGACCCAACACTTACTTCATGGGGCTTTGAGGATTACCTAGCATTGCGGGGTCACCCCCTGCCCTCTGCCCTCTGCCCTCTGCCCCTCTGCAGGACAGAAGCCACAGTGGATTTTCACAATTCTGTTTCAAGTTGCTCAGGGTATTTTATCACCTGCAGACTAAAGGCCAGCTTTCTTTTCTTTTCTTTTTTTAATATGTCTGTATTAATTTCAGAGAAAGGAAGGGAGAGAGACACAGAAATCTCAATGATGAGAGAGTCATTGATCAGCTGCATCCTGTAGGCCNGAGAAAGGAAGGGAGAGAGACACAGAAATCTCAATGATGAGAGAGTCATTGATCAGCTGCATCCTGTAGGCCCCTGCTGGGGATCGAACCAAGATCTCCTGGATCATCGCTGGATGTTCAACCACTGAGCCATACTGGCAGGGCGAGGCCAGATTTCTTGGCAAAGCCTTCGTGGTCCTCCATGAACAAAATTCCCTATCCAACTTCAGACTCCCCTGAAGGTGGCCCCACACACCACTCTTCTCCTACCCCGAGGCCTTTCTGAACATTTATTCATTCCCCACCTCTCTTTGTCCCTGGGCAAGCCTCAGTGCCACCTG